TATGGAAAGTGATCGAAATAAAATACTCGATACTATCATGATACTCGACCGGTCCACCACTATAACTGGAAGCCCTTGTCACTCAATCCCTCCTTGCCCATACCAGCAGATGAACAGATCCTTTCTGTCATGTGCTACCCTGTATTTTCTTTTTCTCTCACTTGTCCTTTCAATAATCTAATCCCTGTTTTATGTGTCATCACTCCTTATATCGTTTATAAGTTTTTTAGACCACACATAATTAGATTTTGATCACATAGAACTTATTTCCGACAAAATACACCTGTTATCCCAAGTTCATTGATTATGGGTTTTCTTTCTATTTTATTAGCTTCACCTCCGTGGGCAACCAGCTATCTTGATGGCTGTCGGAAATATATTAGTGGCAAATATTTGTCCTGTTGGTTTACATTATTTGAACTATTTTGTAAACCTTTGCATCTTCAGTACAATTTGGTTCGAGCTGCTGACGTCATCCTTCCCATTTGCCGGCGAGTTTTCGGCGCGTATCATTTGGATGGTGGGTAATGGTATAAAAGCACCACTGTACAACCTAAATACAGTCACCGAAGTGAAAGTGAGTTCCAACAGGCTTTTATTTCTTTCCATTCCACGACGAAGCTGCTTCACGTCACTGCTTTTAATTTCAGGACTTATTAGTACGTTGCTGGAGTTTTTCAAGTTCAAATCGACCTTCTTTCGGCGACATTCTTACGACTCTTAATTCGTTGCCTCGAAAACGGCTTGATAGAAGTCCACCATTCCCTGCGATTCGGAGCTACGAGTCAATTTTTTGAGCGGCTTCTCCGGCATACGGTATGTTGTGAGTTTCCGCTGCAGCATAATCTCGTTGATGCATTTGAAATGTATGAGTTAACCATGTCATCGCAAATCGTTCTCATTCTCTTCATCATTTCCACTATCGCGCATTGCTTGATTATGGAGTTTAATGTCGCTGACTTCTTCAGGGTTCATTGTGCTTAATTTTATTTTATCTATAGAATTGTTATGGTAAGAGTCGTATTTCTGGGTAGTCAATCCTTAAATCATTTCTGCGAAATGATTTTCGATTATCCAATATTCTGTATCATAGTCTATTCCGGTGCTTCATGCAGAAATTCGAGTCCGATTTTGTTACATTTCTCGTTTTGTTCATCTAGATAGGTCTTCTTTTGTTGGTGGAGTGGTAATAACTCGTTTGGGAGTTTCTGCCAGACTTATCGTAAGCGTAAATAGGTGTTTTGGGATTGTGAGCGTAAAAGACGCGAACTTTTCAAGAATCGCCTTCGCTGGCTGAGCTCTGGATGGGGGCGTTTCTTCTAAATTCCGCAAATTAACGAGGTTGACAATTTGTGATTAGAAACATCCGAGAGTATTCCAGGCTGTGGCATTACATCGCTGCACATATATGTTTTCTGTTTTCCAGCTTTGATTTTTTATACCTTTTCTAGAGGGACTATGTTACAGTGATTGTGCTCGATTTTTAAGATTCGCATTTTTTTACAAGCTACAAAGGTTTGGCCGAGAATATAATGAAGCTGCAGCTGTTGGGATACCTGGAGCTCATGGTCAGTCCCAGGCGGGCTATTCATTCTTTTTCATTTTGAGTACTTTTTATGCTGACCTATCTCAATGAAACGAATGTACTATAATTACCGTAATCTCCCTAGGTTTTCTCGTTCTTTTGCTTTTTCTAGGAAGACTGGTGTTGATATCCCTGATGTTGGACAAGTCTATGTTCTCCTCTCTTTCATCTGTTTTTGGTTCGCTCATTTTTCTAGTGTTCTCTTTCACATTTTCTTTTTCATGCGTCAGTAATGATAATGTTGACTTTCTTTGCGACCTGTGTTGATTTTCTCTTCCATCTGTGTTCACGGTGAATCCTGAAGATTAAAGAAACACCCCCGCATCTCAGTTAGGTGTGGTAAATATTTCTTTCACACAGCCGTGTTTTTGTTGAGGGTGGTTAACCCACAGTCACGGAGTTTCCGATAATACGTGAAAAGAGCTTACTTAATGCTTAAACTTTGTAACTGTGCAAATGTTTTGGGCTAGCGAAAATCGACCATAGTCGGTAATGGCGAACCGAGTTGTCGCCGCTCTTCCTCGCATTCGTGCCACAATAGGACATATTCCCCAGAGGCTGAAGACAGCAAACATTGAACCGAGTTCGCGGGCACGTCTTGAGGTGAGGCCTCGCTTTCAGGAATATGCGAGGGTAGCAGCATGGATTTCTTTTTTGTGCTGTCTCTTTAATGATATTTTGAAGGTTCTTCGACGTATCGTCACACGACTGGTCCGTGAAGAAAGAGCCGAGCTGCAATGGAACAGAGCGGTGGAAGCTCGGCCATATCTGGAAAGGGTGAAATTTAGAGATTTACTCGGGAAACATTGCTGAACATTCATCAGTGAGCAATAAGCAGAAAGCTGCGCTTGAATATCTCTCGTGTTCGTACTTATTCTTCATATCTCAAGGACTTTTTTCACCACTTCATTGCGGAAGTCTCCGTGCAGCTTGATTACTTCATTGAGGATTGAGATGTGACAGCCTAAGTGGTTTTCGAAGTTCACATGCTATGTACCAAGGCAGAGTGTATGAAATGCAGGGCACACATCGAATAAAGTGAAAGCGGATTTGTAGATCCAAACTACTTCGCTCTATGAAAAGCGCGAATGGGGGCTGGTGTTGAAGCGAGCGTGCAAAATTACAACATTGATGAATTTCTTCTTTAATTCTAATTTTTCTAGTTGATTCAACTTGGAGTCGAAAGGGGTGAACATGATGAGTACACAACGGAGATGATGGAGTGGTGGTTGCTTGAAGCGGATCTCATCGAAAAAATGCATAAAGTAAAGCTCCGTTCTATGTTTTGGTTTCTTTTCACCCTTCTGTAGTGTCATGCAGTTAAGCGTTGAAGTATTACTCGTAAATATAAACTGATAAGAATTTCTACAGGTGATTGTACCTCGCTTCGTTAACCGCGAAGGACCTTTCACTTCAATATATCGTCTTCCTACACAGCGCTTGCAACAGCACATACATGGCCGAATAGAACGGTGGAGGCGATACGATATTGCCGTTTTAGAAATTGATGGTACTTTCGATTAATTCTTCTCGTTTTTTTTTCGAATGACGACTTTTTTGACTTTCTCAAAAGATCCGAATATTGCATAGAGAGCTTCAGGAAATCCATTCCCACCTGTGATGGGTGCAAAACCCGACAATTCGTCGTCGTTGCTGAATGTTTTGTTGCGGGACAGTCTTCAGAACCGGTTGAAAAAGCTCCAAATGAAAGCGCAAAACTGAGTGCCGTATTCGTTGATGTTAGGTAGATGTATGTATAAGTAGGTTTGTCATTTTTCTATGATGCTTTGTACGCAAAGTTCTTGGTTGATCACTGTATACATTGATGTTCAGTTGGCTTAAGAAATTATATTTTGTTGTTGTTAATATGTCCGAAATAAATCATATATCTCAAACCCATTGTAGTATTGCCACTCGGGATGATTGCCGGCGCAGGAGTAATGCGGTACTTGGATTACCTGGACTTTGCAAAAGTTTTAAAGTTGAATTGTGCCAATGTCCATCAAAACGTGCTGTATACATTCTTCGCGATGAAATTCTGACCTTTTCGAGAGATATGTGCTGAACCTTGTTTCCCGAAAAGCTTACTTCAAGGCTAAGCACTGTCAATTGCGATCTCATTTGAATCCTGCGCATAACTTGGGCAGCATTTTTGCGAACCCGTTCGATGCTTGAAATAGCGATGGCAAATGTTTCTTTTTTTCACTGCATGGAAATCGAGGCCGTTTTGGATCATTCCATCTGTTGGGTTAGCATTCGATCAACTTCTCATATGCAAAGTGAGATTTTGCCATAAAAAGCTGAGGTGCGTATCAACTCCTTCAATTAGGTCAAGCACGTCTCTCTCTCACCTAATCTTCTTTAGGATGTCTTAACCAAACCTACTTTGAAGGAATCGTATTCGGGAATATTTTGTATTTGTTCC